TGAGGATAGTAACTTTAAATAGTTGGCATTTAAAGATCAGTGAATGAGTAGTGTTGAGTTGTGCTTTCATGTTGTGAGGAACAAATATGAATCTGCGTAAAAGCACTGTTGAAGTGGTAGAACAGTTTTATAAATGTAAATGATAATGATTTCTTTTGCAGATTCTGTGTTTTAGAAAGCTGTAAAAAATGCTATGAAGGTGAATTCTTCACATTGTGAACAATTTATGTTCTTTGCTCTTCAGTTGTTTCCTTCCTTCCTTTTTTGTTTTCTTCTTAGTTTAACATTATAATCTCTTAAATTTTGGTATTATCAGTTGTACTGCTAAATTACCCAGTACTGTAGTACTTACCATTACATTTCAACAATATCATCTTGAATCATTATCGATCTTTTTCATGGCAAAGACGCTTATTCTGGTCACCCAATTTCAAAGTGACATTTTTTTGTCTTAAGTAAAGAAAAAGTTAGAAACATGAGTAAACCTAAGACATACTTGTTGTATGTTAAGTGTCATCAAATTGATTCCGACTCACAGGAACCCTGTATAGGGTTTCCGAGGAGTGGCTGGTGGGTTTGAACCGCTGACCTTGTAGTGCTTATCCTACAGTGCCACACCAGGACTCCAGAACCCATATAAAGAGGACTCAGTTTTTTGTGCTTTCCGGTGGTTGTTTACAAAATTGTGATTTTCAGTGCTAGTGAGGAAGGCTCACAGACTTCCAAAAATCTGGCAGCATTTCTTAAATGTACTTTTTTCCCCTCTGTTACTACATTTTCTTGTCTGTATGTCAGGAGTTCTGCTGTGGCACTATTGGTTAATGCTCTGGACTGCAAAGTTGGTTTGAATGGCAAGGTCAGTGGTTCAAGCTCACCAGCTGCTCCTCAGAAACCCTATATATGGTTGCTATGGGTTGGGCTGCTAACCTCAAGGTCAGCAGTTCGAAACTACCAGCTGTTCCACAGGAGAAAGATGAGGCGTTCTGCTCCCGTAAAGAGTTACAGCCTCGGAAACCCTGGACAGGGTCGCTATGAGTTGGAACCAACTCCATAGCACATCATCACCACCACCACCACCACCACCACCATCTGTATGGCACAGTGGTTAAAGCACTCTGCTGTTGCAGGAGAAAGATGTGATGTCTGCTTTTCTAAAGATTTACTGCCTTGGAAAGGGACCCTACAGTTCAGTTCTGCTTTGTCATATAGGGTTGTTATGAATGGGAATGGACTTGACCCTGAACACAATGGGTTTGGTTTTGGTTTTTAGTATATATATATATATGTATTATTTGTGGTGATTAACAGAAACAGTAACAATCATTAGGAATTTCTGCAATTGCAGTTTTCATTTGAAATACCTACCAGGCTGATTTAAAATCATATATAGAAAACAATGTCAGTATCAGTATTCTTGGTTGCTTTCCCCTAAGTATTATGATTACATGAAAAAATGAAATCTAAATAGAAAACCACATCATCCAAGGTCTTTCAGTGCTTAACATAAGGTCTTAATATATATGTTTACCATAGGTCCTAATATCTGCCCTTTTCTTTAAAATCTAAGTACAAAGAATTTTAAACTTTTTTCAAGTCAGGAGTTTTAGTTTATGATTGATGAAAGTTCAAAAGGCGCTTGTTGGACTATTAGTACTAGTCTAAATGGCATGAAACTATTGCTATTTTCCCATAATTTGGTTTGCAGAACAGATCCTAGACCTTTGTCTGCATCTTGTGTTTTAGAAACTGATGTGAGAACCCCCTCTAGTGTCTGAAATAACCTATCTTAAAGCACATCAATCACAGGAAGTTTGGGGAATTAAATTAGCCATTTTATCTTTTCATATCTGGGCATACATCGTTTTCTTTCTTTTCTTTTTTGTTTGTTTTCCTTTTTTTAAAAGGTCACCGGGATTATGAGTAGGGCATGGAATGAGAGCAATAGGAAACATGGGAAAGGAAAAATCAAAATACCATTTTTACCTTTTTAGAAATAGCTATTTTTAAATGACCTGGAATAATGCCAAACTAAATAGTAGGTTTAATTTTTGTATGTTTGCTTTTAGTTTACATTTGTTTCTGAATTAAGTGCAGCTTAAAAATACTTTGGTTTGAAATTTTAATGTGATCAGAGTTCTCTGTATTTTCTGATAGCACCAGTTTTCATTGGATAATGACTGTAAAGTAAACCCAGATTTTCTTCATGGAAGTTATTTGTTAACTTTTGTTATTACAGTTGCCATATCATTCTGTGAATATATTTTATAGCTGTTGTTGTTGTTAAGTGCCATTGTCCTAGATTCAGTCCTAGATTCTTTATAACTGTACTAATGGCAAATGGCAAATTATCGTTTTACTACTTCCCATTGTTTTTCAACCCCCCCACCACACACACACACACACACACACACACACACACAAAAAGGAGGCTCTTAAGTTGGCTTTCTGCCATCTCTTTCTCTAACTGTATAGCACTCAAAACACAGGCCTTCACTAAGAATCTTGTGAAGGGTTATAGAAACAGGACCTTTCTCATTTGACTCATGGGCTTTGTAGCTTGAACAAGGAAAGTAGTGTTCTAAAAGCTAGAGCATTTATGAAGGCTCTAGTAAAAATATTTCGTGTACACAGACTAGAGATTAACTCCTTTCATTGTGTTCTCCAACAAATTAAACAATGCAAACAGATTTCAAGTGCATTCTTGGTAATGAAATGCTTGGTTGAGTTATAATCCTAATTGCTATTGTTCATTCCCACAGCTGCATTTTGACACTTTTAACTGCCTAAACCACGCATTCTTCAGCCACTAGTATAAACAAAAGCCTTCTGAAAATCCATCGTTTTATGGCATCTTTAATTGCAAATCTGTCATTGGCTGCCTTGATTTTATTTGGTTCCATTGTTGAAAAAATTAGGGGGAAAATGTTTTTTTTTTTCTTATGTGTTTACACCCAAAATTGTTGTCCATAGAACCTTTACTGGATTTCCATGAACATTCATTCATTCATTGTCTTAAGTTTTAAGAAGGCAGTTGAGACTTTCTGAGTTTATGTTAGTCCCAGGAAATAATTTATTTTATCAAGCTAGTTGATATTTTAGGAGACAGCTTTCTGCAAGATTTGAGTTTAAGACTTTACTTTTTTTTTTAGTAAAACACTGTTCTGAATGTAAATCTAAAAGCCAGATTTGTTCAGTGATTTGGCAAGTCATATCTATGTGCCTAGTGGTTCTTTTAAAATTTGGACTCAAGCTGTTTGTTAGTTTCCTCTTTAAAGGTAAAGAAGTTGACATATTTGTAATGCATTTGGAATTTATATTTCTATATATTTAAAAAAGAAATTTGAATGCCAATTTCAACCAAACCTTATTTTAAAAACAAAACTTTTAGATGACCAATAACCATATGGCAGAAATGGAAGGTATATGTAAGTAATGTTGTTGTTAAGTGCCGTGGAGTCAGTTCCGACTCATAGTGACCCTGCACAGGGTTTCCTAAGCTGTAAATCTTTACGGGAACAGAATGCCTCATCTTTCTCCCGCGGAACCGCTGGTAGTGTCGAACTGCTGACCTTGCGGTTTACAGCCCGATTCATAACCACTAACAGAGTAAGTAATAGTAACCAAATTCTAACTTTTCACTATTTCCAAGACAAAAGTGGAAGTTTTGAATTAGCATATTCACAGATAACAATTGTTCAATAATAATTAGCACTTTTGATGCCAAAAGAGTCTAGTTTTTACTGTATTTCTTTATTTCGTCCTAGAAGGACTTTAAATTCTTAAATTCACATAAGCTTGAGGGATTGAGTTAACAACAAAATGCTCTGCCAATTCATGATTTAGCTTTAAAAGTATTCTTTTCAAAGTGAATTATTTCTTAAAAATTATTTTATCTTTTTAAATTCTAGTAGGTGATTATTTAATAATAATAATAAAACCCAAGCCCACTGCCATCATGTCGATTCCAACTCATAGCGACCGTGTAGTGACCAGTAAACACTGAATTAGCACTTGGAGCTCTGGTATCATAGTGGTTACGAATCTGGCTGTGAACCACAAGGTCAGCAGTTTGAAACTACCAGATGCTCCGTGGGAGAAAGATGAAGCTCTCTGTTCTGGGTCGCTATGGGTCAGAACCGACTCGATGGCACACTTAACAACAACATATATCAAGCACTGTGCTAATAAGTACTATTTGATATGCTGTAAAAAACATTCTGAGATAGATATTAAAGTAGGGAATTAAAATAATTTTGCCAAAAATCAAAGGTAGAGTCAGGTGTTTCTGACTCCAAGAGCCTGTGTTCTTGACCATTGTTGGAGTCTTAAGGGAATGTTAAACGCATGGTCATATGGTTTCTTGATGGAATATTATATAACCAATAAAAGTGAGGGTTACTGTAACCTTCTAATGATGTGGGAAAATGCATAAGTGGAAAAGATACAGATTGCAATTAAGTGTTCCTTAAAGAATACTATCTTTGATTTGTCATTGCTGATTTTTTTATGTGATACAATGTTTTGTTAAGTTTCATAAAATCAGTTCTGACTTAGTGATCTGTATCGGATTTCCAAGGAGCAGCTGAAGGATTTTAGCTAGTTTATAATTTTACTGATTTACAGAATTTCTGTAAGTCTGCATGTAAACCAAACTGACAGCTTAGTTTTGTAATAGACTATATAGACTATACCAGTTCATTTTCCGTTTTAATTTGACCCAAAGCCATTTCTTTACTGGACCTGTGCCAGCTCTAATGTAATCTCTCATCTCTCATCTGTATTCTTGAAGGCTAATGGAAGAGTAAAACCTTCTTAAAGATAACCTAAATGTGTTATATAGTATCCTCAGGGTGACTTGTGCACAAAAGAAGTTTTCTTTCCTATTCTGTAAAGGTATCTCATTAGAACACCCAGTAGTGTCATTATTAAGTTTTCATGTGTTTCTCAGTTTTGATGCTAATCTTTGTGCGTATGTGCGTGCATTTTTTTTCTCTCTGCAGTACCAATGTGGTTATGAATTATTCAGAGATCGAGTCTAAAGTTCGAGAAGCAACGAATGATGATCCTTGGGGACCTTCTGGGCAACTCATGGGAGAGATTGCCAAGTAAGTGATAATTTGACTCAGCAGTGCAGAAAGAATCCAAGTATCTTTACACAAAAATAAGAAATCTGCTTTTGGTTTTAAACCATTTAACTACCAAATATGAATTTTGCATAATTGTTCAGATAATTTAGAGTTTTATGCAGGGTCCATTCTCTTTAAACATTAAATTAAACAAGTTAAACAAGCTATAGTTTCCTATCTAAAATTTTGACAAATATATATAAAATAACAAGAAGTAAAGTTATAAAATAAATTTTCCTGATGAACATCTGGACCACTGTGCCAGTGAATATATAGACCTTATAAGACATGATATTAGTGATTAGGGCTTACACGTGTGTTAGGTATTATACAAAAATGTTGTTGTTGTTAAGTGTCATTGAATCAGTTCCACCCATAGCGACCCTGTATAGGGCTTCCGAGGAGCAGCTGGTGAGCTTGAACCATCAACCTTGCAGTTCAAATGACTTTGAAGTGTGGCACATTAACCTACAGCACCATATCAGGACTCCATTATACAAAATATAGGGAATATATTTTCAAGGAAGTGTATCTACATATCTTAAAATCAGCTTACTAATTCTTTTTAGCTACTTGGAAAACATAACTTAGAACAAGCCTGCCATCTACTGTCAAAATTAACATATTGCAAACTCTTAAGGAAAATTAACTTTTTTTTTTCAGGGCTACATTTATGTATGAACAGTTTCCAGAACTTATGAACATGCTTTGGTCACGCATGTTAAAAGATAACAAAAAGAATTGGAGAAGAGTTTATAAGGTATGCACATAAGTCTGTGTTTATAATTTGACATGAGTATTTGGAAATATATACATAAGCTTAATATGCATAAATTATTTTTAAAGACCATTAAATTCAATGCTAGTATCTTCTAGAACAGGAAAAGACATAGATTTGCTATTTGTGTTCTGTGTTACAGTCATCGTAAACTATGGATTATCAATGGCAAATGTTTAAAAATAATGCTAATAATACATCTAACTATTGAGTGTTTATTAAAAATTTTCCTTCTAAGTATATATGAGCGGCTTTTCAACATTCGTGGAAAAATGTAATTAAAAGAAAATGGACTTATTCTGTGAACCTTTTAAAGCCCCCTTGTATAGTTGTGCATATCAAAAATAATTACCTAAAATAGTGTGAATGTTTAGTGTATGAACAGTTATGATGAAAACCAGTCTGAAGTGGTTTGTCATCACTGCATAATAATTTGCTTAATTCATAACTTACTATTATGACAGTATTCTGAACCAAGCAATATATAACATAATTTAAAGTATCATCATTCCTGATTCTAAAACACATTTAACTTCTGACATTTAATATTTTTCAAAAATGAATTATTTTTATCATAGTCCTTTCATTTTATTCTTATCTCTTAATCATATAAAGCAGAAGTTCTGAAGCAAGATAGCCATATATATCTTCTACCTTTACCATATTTTCTTGTGATTCAGAATAAGTTTATCTGTGATTTCTAAAATGGCATAGAGCATACATAGTTAAAACTTGGAAAATAATGTTCTGGCTATCAGGATTGAACAAATCTCTACTTTGATTCCTTGATTTTTTTTTTTTTTTTTCTAAAACACATTCATTGTCATTCCTTTAGTTTGTGTACTGTGGTAAGTATGACCAAGAAGTTGAAACCCCTAAATTGCTTTTTTAAATGGCCATGAAAAAAAAAAAAAACTACTCTTAAGTAAACTACTTTTTTTTAAAGAGTAAATGTGATGTTTCTTCAGCATAACTCAAATTTTTCTGTATCTTTATTATCTTTGTTCCAAGCAATGTTAAGTTCCATTTTTGTTTACTCTCACTATCAATAAAAATTTTAAAGTGTACAGTTTTGTGGTTGTTAATATAATGGTAGTTGTACAACACTCAGTAGTGCCCAGTTTCAGAACATTTCTGTCAACACAAAAAAGATCCCATATTCGTTAACAGTCAACTCTCAATGTACTTTTTAACAAAATGTTCTTAAATGTTGAGTTTTTGTCTTTTATTTACTAACAGCACCTTCTTAAAACAAAAGAAGCCAATATCTACCTCAAAAATTAAATTTTAACTAGGGAAAATATTATGGAATGATATGATTACCAACTAATTAATTGTTATAAGTAAACCCGTGTTTCTAATAATTCATGGTTCCATAGTGACATAGTGCCCAGGTGAAAAGTGAAAAGCAATCCAGTTTTCTACAAGCCTCCCGTTCATTTTGTGTTACACATTCAGATGTTTGTGGACATCTTAATTATTTTTAATATTTTAACAGAGTGTCTTAATATATAGTTAATTATTTTTTATGCTCATTGTAAAAAGAATTTGAATTTGATAATATAAGTTCTAGACTATATTTAAAGTCTAGTGTAAGGTTAAGAAGCAATCACCACCCACATGAAATTGATTTATTTGCTAATGTTGAAATTATTTTTTTTAACCACTTAACGAGGCTCTACCAGAATTTCTTTCGTTAAATCATTTGGTGCTTTGTATTTTTACAGTCGTTGCTGCTCCTAGCTTACCTCATAAGGAATGGATCAGAGCGTGTTGTTACAAGTGCCAGAGAACACATTTATGATTTGCGATCTCTGGAAAATTACCACTTTGTAGGTGAGCAATATAAAAACCTTATAAGCAAATTAAAACAGTAGTTGGAGTTGTCAGTCACCTGAACCAGCTTAGAAGCTTCTCTGCTCTAATTAGAATGTGACTGTTGCTGGTTGTGTGACGAGTGCAGAATCCAAGACGTGGGACCCTAGAGTATTAATTAGTGAAGACAAGAACTTGCAGAAAAGACTGGCTAATAACAACAGAACCAACACAACATGAGTGTTCGGGTTTATATTAAAATATGCACTGGAGACTGGTCCCCTGTGGTGTCCATAAAGGAAGAGCTTTAATCATATGGGAAGAAAAGGTTAGAGCTCCAAAACACACACATCTGTTTGAAGCTGCAGGGTGTTTTTTTTTTGTTGTTGTTGTTGTTGTTTTTTCATTTCCTCCCACCAAATAATATTTACTGTGCAAAGGCAACAAGGCCAGAGTGTGTTTTGAATGTGAAAGAGGCTAGAGAATGAAGCACATTTCATTTTGTAGTGTACTCCAGTTGAAAACACCTTAAAAATTCTGTTTTTCAGCAACACTAAATCCTATTAATTAGTGTATCCAAAGTAGTATTGGTGAAAACAAGGCATATGGGTGCTTTTCTGTCTTTAAAATGATAAATTGAGATTTGTTTTTTAAGTTAAACACAATAGAAAAAGAAAATATTCATGACTGTGAATCCATTTCATAAGATCATTAACACTAATCTTGTTTAGTGGATCTTGCATGTTAGGATTACCGGTGGTCCCTTTCAGTTAATCTATAAATGATTTTATGAACCAGATTATTGAAAACTATATTATATGTAGAAATTTTAATATGTTAATTAATTCTTAGCGTTTTGTTTCTCCCTTACCATCTTCACAGATGAGCATGGCAAGGATCAGGGTATAAATATTCGCCAGAAGGTGAAAGAATTGGTTGAATTTGCCCAGGATGATGACAGGCTTCGTGAAGAGCGAAAAAAAGCAAAGAAAAACAAAGACAAATATGTTGGGGTTTCCTCAGATAGTGTTGGAGGATTCAGATACAGTGAGTATTGAAGCAAATTGGCACCTAAGCATCAATTTAGCTATTTGGATGTGTATTATGAGTATGTCATTGAAATACTAAAAACCAAAATGTCATTTATTCAGCACTATATAAAATACTAAACTACACATAATACTCATTCTGGTGTCTCAAATGGAATTTTTTTGTCTACTTTGTGTATGTGTGTGGGTTCAAGAATTTGGTCAAATAGCTGCAAACTTTGAGTTGATACCAGAGAATAAAACAGATACATATATATATACTCTTCTCTCTCATGGTAAACTGTTCTCTGCTTTCAGTTTAGAACAGAAAAATAGAAAGTTTGGTCTAGAGATTCATCTTTTAATTCGAAACCAACAGATCTCTTTTTTGCCAAAAATAGATAAACTTAGTGCAGTCTCAATCTCTCTTCTCTAATTAAATAATGCATAAAATATTAACTTAGCATAGAATATGACTGGTGATGTTGTTAGTTGTTCTTCTAGGTCTATCATTTTGTTTACTGTTCCTAACACATTTAAAGGCAACTATAATATTCATCTCTCTTGACCCTATAGAATAAACACTGGACTACAAGTCCGTTTGAACTTCAAGGTCGGTGATTCAGACTCACCAGCCATTCCTTGGAAACCCTATACAGGGTTGCTAATGATTCAGAACCAATTTGATGGCACTTAACAATAGAACAATCATCTCTCTTGTTTATTTTTAGTGTTATATATGTTGTTAAGTGCCGCCAAGCCAGTTCTGATTGGAGCAGTTGGTACTACCAGTCTTGCAGATAGCATTCCAGTACTTACCTTACAGTGCCACATACAATATAGTGTCCTTACTATAGAAACATTCACAAAATAAGGGGAACAGACAATCCTCTTGGTTATTTTGTGTTGGTACAGACAGACCAGTGCAGTTGTATGTTGGTACTCTTCATCTCCCTGCCCTTAGCTACATCTGTTTACACATGAATTATCTGAGAGCTCTCAACTCCTTTATTGAAACGAACAGAGGGAAAAATCCTTTTTAAAATATCTAAACATCACATAAAAGTCAATTTTGAATTGGACAAGAATATTTCTCTTAAGTAAAGTCTGTATGTCTTGGATGCTTTTATTTGTTTGGGTAATTGGGAAGTTGTGAATTATATAGCTAAGTAGTTATTTTAATATGGTTTTGAGTTGAAATTGTTACATGCAAGACATTTCCACATTCCACTTGCTTTTGTTTCTTTTTACCAGCACAGTATGTAATTGTATCAGATAAAGTTAGAAAATTGATTACATTTTTAAGCTTAGTCACAGTGAACTAATTGGAGCATCTGTATTAGAGTTATAGTTGAACATCCAAAGAATGTGTTGGCTTGCACACATTTTTTGCAAAATTATTTTTAATGTTTCATACTCTTCAGTGACTTCTTAACAACTTTGGTTTTGTTTTTTTGTTTTTTAATTAGGTAACATCTTACCATTATAGCCTTAGAATTACTTTAGCTAATCAATTTGGGTATCATCTACTTTCATTTTTCCTGTAAATCTGTTCATCTTATTGTCATTGAGCTATACATACACATTGTTGAAATGTCTTATTTTAGGAAAGATTTTGTCTAAAAACCTTTTTACCATGTTCTCTAAGTTGGTGGCCACTTTCATATTTCACAAACATAATTTAAAATCCTCAAGTCCTTGGGATAAAAATTGCAGTCTTGAAGTTTTACTCAGTAATTCAGCAAAATGGTTTTGTTAAATCATCAAAGGGTTCTTCAGGATTCGTTTACAAAAGCTCGGTTACTCAGTGTTTGATTAGTTTGTTGATCCTCATTGCTCCTTCCATTTTTCTCCTCAACCTGCCTTAATTTTCTTTCTTCTTTTTAACCTCTTGTGATTTCTTTGTACCTTCCACTCTGGCCTCTTGATTTATATTTGGACATAGAAATGGAAGGGTTCCATTTAGTGCTTAAAATGATAAGAACTAAGACAAATTCTGCCATTTGGGGTTTGTTCACTTCACTTCACTCCCATATTCACCAAACTGCTCCCTTGGTTTCTTTAGTCTGAGCATATATTTAGACTTGATGCTTGAGTACCTTTTACCAGTTTCCAACAGTTAGTTGACTCCAACTCATGGCTACCCCATGTGTGTCAGAGTAGAGCTATGCTCTATAGTGTTTGATGCCTAATTTTTTATAAATAGATCACCAGACATGTTTTGCTGGGTGGACTCAAACTTCCAACCTTTCATTTAGCAGCTGTGTACATTAACCCTTTGCACTACCCTGAGACTCATCATCACTATGCTGAACTACTTAGGTATACTTCGTGATTCTAGTGTGAATAGTTTTGTTCTGTAGAATATACTTTCTTTTTGCTATAATTACAAAGTTCTTTCAAATGCCTAAAAATTCACTGAATGATTCTCTAGTTTGATTCTAACAAATGATTACTGAGTCCTTTCAATATATTGGGGACATGAGCATTCAAAATGGAGTTTTCTTTATGCTTTTTAAGAGACTGTTTCTAATAATTGAAAAACCATTAAGAGACTGGAATAAAATGTAATGGGTTAAGTGACTTTTATAAAAACAAAAAGATTTCCATTTCTCTTTTGCATATATATATATATATACAGCTTGTGTTGGATTTTGTATTTTCTACTGCTCTTTTCAGCAGCATTTAAGAACTTCCTGATATGCTGTGCTATGCATTAAGGTTGTGTAAATTTTCATAAACAAAATCTTTTGAATCTGCATTCCTGCCACTTAATGACTGGCATTACATGCTGTGCCTTGCTGTAAATGTGTTGATTCAGCACTGTGGGAGCTTTCTGTTTTCCTTTGAAAACTATTTTATTATGAGGAAAAGTTTCAGAAATAAGGAATATAGCCATCTTTTGAACTTAGTATCTTTAGAGTTGCTTGTTTTTTTAATGTTTTATATAGGTGAAAGATACGATCCTGAGCCCAAATCAAAATGGGATGAGGAGTGGGATAAAAACAAGAGTGCTTTTCCATTCAGTGATAAATTAGGTGAACTGAGTGATAAAATTGGAAGCACAATTGATGACACCATCAGCAAGTTCCGGAGGAAAGATAGAGAAGACTCTCCAGAAAGATGCAGGTATTTACACTCTGTCTCTTGGGTCTCTTGTAGCTGTTTTTAAAATACTACATCAAACGTTATTTGCAGTTAATATTGATATACTTTCCAGTTTGTCAATTTCCATTTACTTTTACAGTTTATTGTGTTTCCTATGTATTTTTATCAAGGGTACTTACTCTTCTATTAGAAAAGCTTACTTTTTTCCCCCTGTAGTAATTTCTAAAACTCATATGATTCAGGGATCTCAGGTATTGTTGAGGGATAATGAAGTGTGAAGGATATGAAATTTAAATCCTCCCTTGACATTTTATTAGGTTTTTGTGTTCGTGTGTAGCAAAAAAAAAAAAAAAAAAAAAAAATTCCCTAAATGGACTTTGGGACCAAAAAGCTATCAAGTGGTAAACTGTTATTTTTGCAATTCTTTTTAAAAAACATTTTTTTATATTCATTGCTTATACATTTCCTAATGGTAGGGCACTTGTATTTAGTTTTACAGTTTCTTGAAGCCATTGACTTTTTTGTTCTTAACCAGTATAACATTGGTGAAGGGACTTCAAGAAGTTCATGGACAAATGAAATGAAAATAGAACTTTTCCATGAACTTTTTGAAGCCCCTCATACTGTTGTTGTTGTTTTGCCAATTAATAGGGGAGTGTGTAGCACTTAATTTTCAAAACAAGTTTTACAAAACTTTTATCATTTGTGCCTTATAATATCCCTATTAGGTTAGATAGGGCAGGGCTTTTAAAACCCTTGTTTTTCAGAGGTAAAATCTGAGACTCATTCTAATAAAACTAAAATAATACAGTGATGAAGGTTATTCAAAAGAAATACATATTATATAGATATTTTGAAACTATTCAGACCCTGAAATATTTGCCTAGTATCTTTTCAGTATGTTTCCATTATTGTTAAATCCTGTGTTTTTGAAGACTATGTTTTGGAGTGTGGTATTTGAAGAGTCGGAATTCATTTTTAGTACTTTGAGAATATTCTTTTACAATTACTTTCCTAACTCCTTTATGTTGAAAGAGTATACATTACATAATTTAAACACTGAACTTAAGGAAATGATGCCTACTTCATATATTCTATTCTGTTTTTCTCTCATTAATGACCTTGTGGCCTGTGTATAAATTTTTTCTTTCGGAAATAATGGCAAGGTATTGTGGTGATACTTCCTAGAAAAATGTGGGGCTCAGGTAGAAAACCTGGTTAGAGATCTGTGTACTTTCTTGTATTGTTATTTTCTTCTTTGCCCTTCTTTCCCATTTTTCTTTCCTTACTTTGTCTTACTCTTTTTCTCTTTCAACTTATTCCTGATTTCCTTTTTTTTTTTAACGTTGCCTCTAAAATAGTATCTATTCTTTGTTGCAGTTCCTAACTTTTTATTAGAGTATTAAGGTTTATAGGAGTGAAGATGTACCAGATGCAATTCATTATAGCAATTATAGGATCTACCTTGGAGCTCTGGTAGCGTAGTGGTTACAAATTGGGCTGCTAACCTCAAGGTCAGCAGTTTAAAACTATTAGCCGTTCCGCGGGGGAAAGATGAGGTGTTCTGCTCCTGTAAAGAGATATACAGCCTCAGAAATTCTGTACAGGGTTGCTATGAGTAGGAACCAACTCCAAGGCACACCACCACCACCATCACCTAGAAGTTTTACATCTGGTGTTTGTGAGAAAAGAAATTTTTAGACAAAGGTGAGCATGACTGCTCTGGCATGATACCAAGATTTTGGATTTAGGTGGTTCCTGTTAGATTTTGAATTCTTGAACATTGATCATTCCATTGTGTTCTGGGATAGTTTATATGTTCAAATTTATCTTGCATTGAAGTTAAAGTAGACATCAAATTTCTAAGAAATTTCTATTTTACTTACAGGATTTATGATAGAACTCTTTAGGTCATGTGTTTTTTTTTTTTTTAAGAAATTAGTGTCATGGGCTCTTGAACATTTATCAGAACTTGTAGGTTCCCTATATGTAAAAATATATTTAACCCCTTTGTTCTTTGTAGGAAGCAAGCATTTTTCTTGATCCATGATTTCTACAAGTTCCAGATTTGCTTATGCTTCAGTAGAAAATTGCTTTAGATTAGTCTAAGTTAAATTGCATCAGTAATAATAGTCATAGTTTAATGGAGAATTTTTAAGTGTTTCATTCCAGGATATTTATAAATTAAACCACCTACTCTGAAATTAAGTAATATAGGTAATAGCTCAAACTCAAGGGAATATTTCTCTTTCCCCTTTCTCTACCTCCTACCCCCACTTCTGTCTTTTCTCCCCTCCTACTTGCACCAGAAGAAAACCAATTCATTGTTACTGGAGAACAGACTAGTACTGACATTTTCATTCCCAGCATTTGAAAAACCAACTTTTTAACTCATTCAGTATTTTTTTTCTTTTGCTCTATATGCATTAGTGCATGGGAATTGATAGTGAATTGCATTATATAGATAGAATGTAACCATTTCACACAATCCATTTTTGAAAAATAGTCTTCAAGTGCACATATTTGACTTTCCATGTTCTCATTAATTGATCTGCTATGATGATAAGTGTGATACTTTATTTTAATTAAGCTTTAAATCTTAATAAATAAGCACTTGAGTTCTTTAATACATTTTATTATATGTAGACATTTATGTAAATACTTTTTTGAAACTGTTTTAGAGTTATCTAGGGAATTCTTTGGGCTCCCACTTCCCCACCCCAACACACACATAACCTCATTATTCAGATAGCTTAGATAACATTCTATTGATCCCTGTCAAATAGTCATAAAGTATAGAATTTTGGAGTTACTACATTTGAAATTCTTTAGCTCAAATCACGGAGGACTCCATTTTAAGATAATCCCAAGTCTTATTATTTTGCTTCATTTTTAATATCTTTTAGCGACAGTGATGAGGAAAAAAAAGCGAGAAGAGGCAGATCTCCCAAAGGTGAATTCAAAGATGAAGAGGAGACTGTGACGACAAAGCATATCCATATCACACAGGCCACAGAGACCACCACAACCAGACACAAGCGCACAGCAAATCCTTCCAAAACCATTGATCTTGGAGCAGCTGCACATTACACAGGAGACAAAGCAAGTCCAGACCAGAATACTTCAACCCATACACCTCAGTCTTCAGTTAAGGTGGGAATGGCACCCGTTTGCACTTTTTATTCTTACAAACTACTTTTAGAATTCCTGCATTAGTAGACTCATGTGGTTCTAAGCAATCATATTAATTATAAATCATCTGTCATATATTACTCAGAGTCATTAATAATAAGAAACCTCTTTGGGGGAAGAAATCTGTCTAACTGCTGAATGATTTCCTATGCACTTTCTATGAAAGTAGAAATGCCACCCTTGGTTCATTTTGGAAAGGTTGGGAATCAGAATGTAGTGCATCTGTTCCTCTAGATACCTCCGCTGGTTACCAAGCACAGCTTGATTCACTAAGGAAAACATGGAAGTATTTGGAAGTTTTTTCAGATGACAAAGGAGACAGTAAGTTGACATATAGGCAAAATGATCTCATTTTACATAGCGATGATGCCTATTAAAGGGAGACTTACTCGCCTGGTGATTACTGCTCTTCACTATCAGAAGCACTGCCTTCTGTACCTTTAATTTTTTTTTTTTTTTTTTTTACCATGGAAATGAAATCCACCTACTGGGTGCTTGACCACAAGCTAGTCTTTTGAATAGAAATTGCCAAAGAGAGAGTTTACTCCAGAAGACCTAGGTTGTCATTTTTGTCAATAGTAGTGTGTACTCAACTACTTTGCATTCAGAAATAGCTAAAAGATGGGGGGAATATATATGATTAATACATTTCGTAAACATATTCATCTAGGAATAAAACTCGATCTACCGAAAGGAGTTCTGGTGTGGTGTTATAGGATAAGCACTAGACTGCTGACCATAAGGTCAGTTGTTCAAATCCACCAGCCATGCCTTGAGAAACCGTATACAGAGTCGCTATGAGTAGGAACTGACTCTATGGTACCAACAACTTAGTTAAAGGGAAAAATGCTATACCAGTGATTGCCATATATCCTCTTGTTGTTATGTGCCGTCAAGTCAGTTCCGACCCATAGCAACCCTGTGTAGGGTTTCCGAGGAGCAGCTGGTGAGCTTGAACTGCCAACCTTGCAGTTCAGACAGCTTTGCAGTCTGGCGCATTAACCCACAGCGCCACACCAGGACTCCATATATCCTCTAGACTGGTTATAATTTTACTCATGCTGTGCTGTTTTTAGTTTTTGTGAAAGCCTCAAAATTACAACTCAACTTTAGTTGCCATTAAAGGTTTTTCTGTTGTTTCTTTATGATCGTAGATTTCCCCTGTTGTGGATACAGTTGCTTACTGATAGCTGTTAGAATCTGGTTAGACAGTCATACTAATTAACACCCCAAATACATGATGACTGTAGTAATGGGAACACTTTTAAGACTGCAGAAAGAAAATCATCAAACTGTATAATTATTTTTAGTTTTACAATACACTAACACTTTCCTGTCTTAAAGAATTTTGAATGTCAATTTTTTCTTACTGCTTGATACATGGCATACTGCCGTAAATATTTTGTATTTGTAGTATAAGCTGTTTGTTTTTATATTTAAAAAAAATCTAAAAGACGGAAGTTCCTGAACATTTACTTAACTACTTCTGACTTGTTTCCATCTCAAGGTCATTTTGAACCACAGTGTATTATTTTAAACTTCAAGGAGCAGATTAAAATGCCTAGGAACTACCAGTCTCCCAATTGTCTAGCAGTTCAGTTCAGCATGAATGTATTGAACATACTGGACATACTGTATCAGGTTTTTAGTGCTGTGAGGAAGACAGAAATAGTGTTACAATTCAAGCAAGCCCCACAGTTTAGTTTGGGAACTAAGTATAAATGTTAAAATCAAGGTTTTCTGGCTATCTAGAATTAATACTGTTGTGTGTGGCATGCAAACAGTAAGTGTTGCTAACGTTCACAGAATCAAAGAATTTTGCAGCTCTATAAGGCGTTGGCCACTAATCCAGTGGATTTCAGCCCGTGTTGTCATTGGAGCTTTATAAGAATATGTAGGAAAGGCCTCACCCTGGACAATTATGATTTAGTATATTGTGACAGTATTAAGGACTTTATTTTTTAAAGTCTCACAAATGAATATGATGACATTAATTTGTGAGCGGAATCTGAAATACATGTTTTCCAGAGTGAAATGCAGTAAGAAAGTAAATAAGTTAAGAAAAAGAGGGGTGTGAACAATAGAGATTTTTATTGTGCTGGGAATAGAATTACTTAAAAATACTTAATTGCATCTCCATAAGGATTCAGGGTCATTGCTATCCTCAGATAAGTGAGTCTAGTCTTATTAAGATAATTACAGGTATTTGTGTATAAGTAGAGAATTGAGTTGATTAAAATGTTAAGTTTTTTTTCCCCTTGAAAGCTTTTTTTTTTTTTTTTAAATCTTTGTTTTCTAAGCTCTAGTTATGTGTTTGTTTTTAGACTTCAGTGCCTAGCAGCAAGTCATCTGGTGATCTTGTTGATCTGTTTGATGGTGCCAGCCAATCAACAGGTAAGGTTCCACATTGGCTTGTTTTTAATAACCTGGTTTTCAGAATCAATTGAAGAATTTTTTTTTCAAATGAAAAAGAAAATTGGTATTTATTTCTACTGGAAATAATTCTAATGTGAAAGGAGTGAGCCTTGAGTATTTTACTTGGGGAATTGTTTAATTGCATATAATAAAGGGAAAAGAGTGCTTAAATATTTGGTTACTTTGTAATCTCTTCCTCTTACTAATTTATTTAGCATCAGTGGTCTTTACCACTCATTATTAGGGCCATCATGTTTGTACTGTTTCTCTTTCGATATATGTTTTCATTTCCGGAATTCTCTTGTAAAAGAAACGCTGTGCTATGCACATGTCTTTGACCTTCAAACTTAGCTAAGCTCTCTCTGTGGTAGTCTGTAAACATTGTCCAATAATGTAGGATAAGCACTGGACTGCTTAACTGTAAGCTCTGCAGTTCAGACTCTCCAGTCGCTTCTTGGAAACTTTATATAGGGTCAGTGTGAATCAGAATCAACTTTAGTGGCACTTGACAACATAATCTGATAAAATATTTCCTGCCAAGTAACAATATATGGTATCTCAAAGTATAGTATACTTTCTGAAATTTTTCAGTATCAGAGATTTTGGAGAGTTGTAGTTCCCATTTTTATTTTTATTAAATTAATGTGGAGAAACATGAAATGTATTACTACTCTAAATTAAAACTGCCTGAATATTTTACTTTCTTCATAAGCAAATGTACTTCTCTGCCCATTTACTGTCTTTCCCCGATTGTTTAATTCTGGTTCTCAGTATTAGATATACCTAGAATTCATTTAGCTTTTTATTCCTTTATTCAGAAAATTCTGTTGAACCAGATGCTGGTCTTGGTGCTTGGATATAATGCTTAGTGAAAAACACTTGCCCTCCTTCAAGGGTCAAGTGAAGGAAATAATCATTAATCAAATAGTTGTTGTTGTTAACTGCTGTCGAGTCAGTTCTAACCCATAGCGACCCTGAACAGGGTTTCCGAGGCTGTAAATCTTTACCGGAGCAGAAAACCTCATCTTTCTCTTGAAGGGCAGCTGGTAGTTTCGAACTGCTAACCTTGCAGTTCGCAGCCCAATTCGTAAATGTGAAGAGTGTTTTGATGGAAAAATGCATTCTGTGGAAGTGTATAAAACCCATCTGACCAGTTTTCTGAGTGCTGTAGCAGAGTTGTTATGGTTAAGTGCCGTTGACTCGATTCCAGCCCATAGCGACCCTGTATTGGGTTTCCAAGGAATAATTCGCGAGCTTGAACCACCAACCTTGCAGTTCAAATGACTTTGCAGTCTGACGCATTAGTCCACAGCACCACACCAGGACTCCAGTAGCAGAGTAGTTTACTAATAAGATTTTCTCATACGTGAGGCTGATAATTACTTCAGTTTGATTTCTAAATGTGCTAGATTTTACCTGAGTAATTCTCAATAAATGGTTTCCAAGAATACGTATTCAAAACAACTCAAGAAATACAACTTCTATTTAAAGACAATATTTCCTAACCTGTTTAAAATTTATTTCACATTTAAATGTGAAAAGAGGGTTATAACTAATGTTCAAAATAAATGTATTATTCCTAGTTGTATGTAATGATTTTTCAAAGCTAGATTTTTTAGATTGGCATTTGAGTGGAAACCTGTGATGGAAATTACTTTGCATCTTCATTAAGTTTAGTACATATAATCAGTATAAAATGCTTAGTAAAATAATAGGAACATTATTTCTCTTCTTGCCTGCTTTCATAAAGTTCTTGGACTGAAAGTGAGAGGTCATCTGGTGTGACCTAGTTTCTAAGATTCCCTTTTCCTTTTTACTATAATTATTATTATTCCTAAAATAATTTTTTACACTTAGTTGGACTGACATGTCCAAGGTTACAAATATATCCATTAGTCATTTAACAATTTATGTGCTGTCTTTTTGTATGCTTAAGATTTCAACTGTACTGTTAACTGGTAGTTAGCATATAGTCATATAATACACAGTGTCACAGAATATCACCTGTTTTGGACTTCTTGGCATAAAATATTAAAGAACCCCTTTCATGAATCTGTAGGAAGTTTTAATGGAGCAATCAGAGAAGAATTAACTTGGAAGGTCACTTGAGTGGCCGTAACTTTTTTCCTTGGTGATATCAATATTGCTTTGAACAGAGAGAATTATTAAATACCAACATGCTTTCTTTGCTTGGCAAGAAATCTTTGAGTGGTTTTCCTTCTCCAGTACAAACAGTAAATTGACTGATTAAATATAAGTAGCAATTAATATTAATGGCGTAAATGAGACAAACAAAAAGACTTAAGGTAAATCTGAAAGGGTTTTTACTTTAAAGTTTATTTCTTCTTAATGTATATTTTTTAAAGCAGTGTAGGTTGGCATCAGAATTAGTTTTTAGAGTTATCTCCTATTTGAAACAATATGTTAAACACAGTTTACAGACACTCCCCCCAATCAAAATTTAAATTTATTTCTACTGAATCTCTATTTAAATATTTTAATAATATATTTTAAATTGACTTCAGCAGGAAAGAAAATTGGACATTAAATCTTTAGCACCTACACATGAGAAAATGTAAGAAGCTACCATATTAGCATTGCTATTTGGTATGTCACTTGGGTGCCATTTACCAGATGTGCCCATATTTATAATAGTACCATCATGCAAGTAATATGGGCATGAGCTGTAAAGCTAAGCAGATATGGCATCTGCACCACTCACTAGATCTCCTCTGAGAAAGTGCTCAGACTTTTTTGGGGGGAGAGGTGGGGGGTAAGGGAGGTGGGTATGTGTCATTACATTCTTCTTATTAGCATCTTCAAAAGTATATGTAGTAAAATTATTGTAGAATATTTTACTACGTTTAAAATATACATGCAAAACCTGACTATCAAGACTCACTTGAGACAGTCTTGATGAACATCCCACTGTGGTGAGTGTAGTTTTATATATATGTTCAAGCAATTTTGTGGCTTTTAAGTCAGTATTTCAGCGGACTTGAAAAAGTTCATGGGAAAATTTCATCACCTTTTAATACCATTTTGTGTGGCACTGTGGGCTAATGCATCAGACTGCAAAGTCATTTGAACTGTAAAATCAGTGGTTCAAGCTCACCAGCTGCTCCTTGGAAACCCAATACACGGTCGCTATGGGTCAGAATCGACTCAATGGCACTTAAACAACAACAATGTATTTCTAAGTAAACATTTAAGAAATGAATAATAGTTTAAAGTATTAACAAAATAAGCCAATCGGGAATAGTACCAAAACTCATTCAGTTGTCTTTTTGTTGTTGTTGTTAGTACATCTTTTCCCTTTAAAATGAAGTCCAAGTTACCACCTTTGCCCTTGTGTAGTTACAGGATTTGGATATTGGTTAAGGTAACCATTAATTACATAAGGCATTTCTACTGCAGTAAATTATGTTAAAAAAGAATGCCCCATCTTAGTACAAACAGAAATACCTTACATAACTTTAAATCTGTGTTTTGAACTCTATTTTTCTTTTAATTAAAAATAATTTTAAGATGATTTAAAGTCTGTAAAAACCACAATTTTCTTACATTTGAGCCTGTTGCCTTGTACTTAGCCTTGTAATTTGAGCCAACTCATGTATTAGAATTGGAGGCCTGGTGTGGCTGGGTACTGGACTGATAACTACAAGGTCGGCAGTTTAAACACACTAACTGTTCCTTTGAAACCCACTCATTCTGAATCAGAACCTATTCAGGGACACTTGACAGCAATAACAGCATACATTAGAATTGGAGGGAAGGGTTGTCTCCAGTTTAAAGGCAAATTTAATAAACAAAAAAATTTCAAGCATACTTTTCATGTATTAAACAAATTTTTGTATACACAGTCAATACATTGTTAAGCATTTATTGCATGGCTTTTAGATAAAGATTTGTTTTGAAGGGTGGATTAAGTGCTGTTAACTGCTTCTCACCTGAGATCGAGTGATAGTTTACATGGGAGAACATCAATTTTGTACTCATCCTATCGTGTTTTGTTTCACTGCAATGATTACAATCCCCTCCATGCATTTTTATGCATATCATCATTAAACAGTCTTTGCTTCTATTCCCTATTTTTGGTTTTGTTGTTGTTGTTTTTTTATGTACACAGAAACACTCAGAAATATATAATCATTTAAACAACCAAAGGGCACATTCTGAAAGCCTGCTTCCTGGCTGCCAGCATACAATCTTTCTCTTTCCATGAGTCTGTAGTCCTCAGTTGCTCTATGACGTCTTCTCTGCCTCTATCTCTGGTGTCTCTGCTTCTCTGGATAGGGTCCCATATTCTGCTCATGCTCTTCTCCGTTGATGCTCCTAGGGTCCTCTGTTTCCTGGTCTGTAAGATAATGACTCCTCCCTTTATGTTATAAAACCTCTACCTTTACAATTGTGACGACCACAATTAGTCATGATAACAGTTGCTCACTATTGAATCAAAAGAATCTTATCCCCATCTCTTTTCACCAGACCCATCTAGACAAGATGAAAACTATTCAGTCTCATGAACTTTTTAAAGCCCCTTCGTACTATAATTTACTTAATCCCTTATTTTTTAGACATTAAGGTTTTGTTTTGTGGATGGTCTACCACTTCCCCCAATTTTCTCAATTATAAAGTGCAAAATAGATTCTTTAAAGATACTCCAAATTGCAGAAGAAATTTTTGTTGTTGTTGTTTACTACTTGAGTTTAAACATTTTGATACTTTTATAAACGGTGTTTCTTTTGACTTTTCTATCTCTGTTCTTCATTTTTTTTTCTGTTGGAGGTATTTATCCTTTCTTAATCATTTTTTTGAAAACTGTATATTATTAATCTTTATAATATTTGCAAATATTTTTCAAATACTTTAAGTTTTATATGTATTAGAAATTTTAAGCAAAAATATGTTTCTCAATGTAATCTAGATCAAACTCTGTAGTTTAAGCATTGTCCAGTATAGCTGAATTTTTCCTATTCATAGTATTGCTTTGGAAAATATATGTTCCCAGCTGGTGATAGTAAATAACTTCCTTGCTGTCCTGAAAAGGCAGATGGAGATGGTTCATTTATAATGACAGCTCTCATGTGGGAATCTTGAAGGATAGATCTTGTAAAATTTAACCGTCTTTTGCATGCAGGAGTTTTTGGTAGACTCTTAACTTAAATTCCAATAAGGAGTTATCTGAAACAATGCTTAAGTATAGAAAATTTATGCTACGGCATTGGTGTGAGTAGCATTGTACCTATAAACATTAAAAGAGAGAAACTTCACAATTTGCAATAAAAAGTTAGATGAACTTGGTATTATTTCTGTTTAGGTGGTAAAGGTGGAGGAGAATAATCAAAGTAGGTAATGACTTGAAATATTAAATTCAGCGTATGGCAAAAAAAATAAATAATTCACCCAGCTTAAAATTAAAGTCTATAAAAAATTTCATTGCTTTTATCTGCAACATGATTTTCTTTGTAGCCCAAGTTGAATACGGTTTGAAAGTCCTTAACTTGTTTAGCATAATAAATGACATTGATATTTATTCACAGTGTGGATGATGAACATCAAAATAGTCTACAACTTTCAAACATCTTAGTGTTATAGTAAATTATTAACGATCATTCTGTTGCCCAACAGTATACTTTAATCAGTATTTTAAACATGGAACAACACTACAGAAAACAAACAGGAATAGTAAGCAGCAATTGGTTGTGGTGTTCATTTTCCTGCTCGTATGTATTTAGCTTTAAAATATAGGTTATCCCTGTGTACCTTACTTTACCCAAAAGTTTGGAAAAGATAATTAAAGCACTGTGATAAGATCTTTTGAGTAAAGTAAAAAATAGGTGTATGAGCTATATAGTGTTGATAGAGCAGAGCATCTTGGCCTCCGGGGGACTTAGTTGACTGGTGAGTATTGTGTATGAACATTGGCATCTGTAGTGAGGTGAAGGAATGAGGAACAATTTGTTATATCTGCTGATAGGTGCACCATAAATGTGCATTAAAAAGAAATAGCAAGTACACATGTATCAGAAGCTGATTTGTTCCTTTTATTACTGCTGGCCATTTATTAAGAAGGGGGAGATGGTTGTAGTTTAATTAACCCAGTTGAGTGTAGCAGATGGGGCAGAATGTCTTGCAGCGATAAGACAATTCAGAAATGGCACCAGATGTTGGAAGTTGTCCCTGGTGGTGTTTGAGTGCAGCCCAGATGTTTCAGTCCCACCTGGCTAGTTTCTAAGCACTGCAGGCTAAGCAACTGTGATGTTACCTATATAATGTTCACATAACACTAAAAGCACCATAATTGAACTGCTGCTCTAGACTTCTAAGGTTGTGACTCTTAAGAGGTGAAATCTTTAAGGACAAACTAAAACTAAGGAAAAGGATTTAAGTTTTTAGATCTTTCAGGCTTTTAGTTGATAACTGAATTCAAAAGAAACAAGAGTATTAAAACCTGAAAATAGTGTTATTGCTCAAATTATACATAAAATATTTTTATAAAAATTGTAGTGTTTACAAATAAGAATTGTATAAGAATATGATATTAGGCACACCACACTGATTTACATAGGTATAATTTGGATCTCACCTTTCTAAAAATGCCAGTGTAGAAGTTAGTATAAAGCTCTTATTCTGCCATGCATTAAAAATACACGTTTATACTCACTCATGGAGTAAACAATGGTAAAAAAGTAGTTCACCAAAATCACTGCATTGATTTTTCACCCTATATTTATTTAAACTGATATTTGTACATAACACTTTCAAGTTTTCCCTCCAACTTGTGATTTCAAACTTAGGAAAATTGTTCCTTTTATCGCTCTAGTAAATATTGTTGTTGTTATAGGACTTCAAATTTGTGAAAAACTGGAATTGAAAGAGAATGGAATTTTCCATGAACTTTTTGGAGCCCTCTTGTGTATGTGTGTGTAAATTAAAAAAAAAAATTTTTTTTCTTTGTTCTATCTATACCATTTGAGAGGAAGTTGCAAACATCATGTTATTTTGCCACTAAAATTCTTCAGCATGTTTCTCCTTGGAACAAGAACATTTTCAGATATAAGTATCATACTTGGGCAAATTGACATTAAAAAAATGTATATTTTATCTAATGCACAGTCTAAATGTAAATGTTTCCTCCATTTTCTCTACTATGTCATTTCATCATAACAGTTTTATTTAAGATTCACGTGTTTCATTTACTTGTCATGTCAACAGCCTTAGGTGCCTTAATGTGGAGCAGCCTCCGCACTGTTATCTTTTGTGATGCAGCTATTTTCTGAAGAGTCCTGAGGACTTGTTTTGCAGAATGTATCAATTTGTATTTGTCTGATTAATTCCTTATGTTACATGTGGGGTGGATATTTTTGGCAGGAATTTCTACCTGAGTAATATTGTCCTTTTTCAGCCCCTCAGATTAGAAGACCCATGATATGCATATTGTCTGATGTTTTTGTTGGAACTGCATTTGATCTTGTGTTCAGCTCACTCCATTGTTTTATCACTTTGTAATTAGTTATCTGTGAGGTGATATTTTGAGACTATGTGAATATTCTATTCCCCAAGAATGTTTTACTCAGGTTTTTGTATCCATTGAAGATTTTTCTTATAAAATGCTGGTATTCTAATTTTAATGCTCCTTCTGAACATTGTTGTTGTTGTTCTTAAATGCCATTGAGTCAGTTCTGAGTCACAGTGATCTAGATAAGGATTTTCAAAGAGCAGCTGGTAGGTTTGGACAAGCCAGTCTTGTGGTTCAGATCAACCTTACAGTTCAGTGCTTACCCTACAGCATCACACCAGATCTCCCCTTCTAAATATACTAGCTTGGTGTTCTTCTCTTTTCTCACCAACTCCATAATTTTTTTGTGTATCAATTTGAATTTTTAAGTTTATCTTAAAAACTTTAATAACAGCATAACTGGCAGTATAAACTACACACCCACTGTATATTCATGAAACACAAATAAAGAATAACTTTAGCCAGTAATACAAGCTTGTCTACCTTACTGGAAATAGAGTAGGGAATATAAGAGTCTGATATCTTAAAGGGCATGTGGTAGCATGAAAAGCTACATCAACAAACCAGCTTTTTATATGTCTGGGGCTCTAATATTGGGTGTTTTTAAAGGAGGCTGATAAAATGGCTTCCTGGAATTGCTGTCAGTTGTTTTGTAATTCTAAAACTTAATCTTTTCCTTATCCTTAATTTCTAGGGGGATCATCTGATTTATTCGGAGGATTTGCTGACTTTGGTTCAGCTGCTGCATCAGGCAGTTTGCCTTCCCAAGGTATGATACAATATGATTGGCAAGACATCTAGGGGCAGGTAAAAGAGTTCTCATCAAAATTGTCCAAACAAAACAATTCTCTTCCCTTAATCAGCTTCTTTTTGTCTTGTTTCTTCTTATATTATTTATAATTCCTTAGGGAACTCATTTACAGAGTATTTGATTGGACTGACTTTTTAAAATTTTCCAAACAAATTAATCTGATTTTAAATTACTTTGGTACACCTAAAGAAAATTATACTTCCTGTTGACCTGGAGATGAGCGAGAGAAGAGGAAGGGCTGGTTGGTTCAAAGTGTAGTGAGACCTGAGGACATCTGAGTCCATGGACAAGGACATAGCCATGGAGGGCTAGAGCTGAGAATGAAGCATCCAGCTGATATGACATGAGGGGAGACGCACAAGAACACCCAAACATGTAGATAGTACCTATTTGACCGAGCCTCGATGACTTGATAATCAGAACTCGACCATTAAAAAAAAATGCAATTTTTCATCAAGAAAAGGGGAGTATATTGCTACAATTTGATGAACTTGACCTATGCTCATGGATGTAGTAGCTCAAAATACCAACAGAGAGGGAAAGAGTCTTCACATCAAGTATCAATGCTATCATTTCTGTATATAGGGTAGATAGGGATGGGCAATTTAGACATTGTTGTTGTTATGTGCCGTGGAGTTGGTTCTGACTCATAGTGACCTGTACAGGGTTTCCGAGGCTGTAAATCTTTACAGGAACAGAAAGCCTCATCTTTCCTCTGTGGAACGGCTGGTAGTTTTCAACTGCTGACCGTTAGATTAGCAGCCCGATTCGTAACCACTACTCTACCTAAAACGAGGAGGCGATAAAAGGCACAAAGTGACTGGCTTACAAGTTTTCAAGAGGTAATTTCGTTTCAGAGTGTGCCAGGGAAGATAGAGTGTCCCCACTGAATAGTTTTCATCTTGGTCCACATGGGTCTGGTGAAAAGAGATGGGGATAAGATTCTTATCATTCAGTAGTGAGTACTTATTATCATGACTAATTGCAACTCACAATTTTAAAGGTAGAAGTTCTTTTTTTAACAAAAATGGGTAAGTAGTTAATCTTACAGTCCAGAAACAGAGGCCCCTAGGACCATCAAGGGAGAAGAGCACAAGCAGAATGCAAGCCCCTATCCAGAGAAGCAGCGACACCAGAGATGGGGAGAGAGGGGGCAGCTGAGGACTCCTATAGATTCATGGAAAGAGAAGGACTAAGAACTGGTGGCCAGGAGGCAGGCTTACAGAATGTGCCCTTTGGTGATTTAAATTATTATATATAGCTGAGTGTTTAAAAAAAAAAAAAAAGAGAGAGCTAAAATGAATAGAGAGAAATACTATTAACTGATGGTACATGGAGGGGATTATAATCCTATAATGAAACAAAGTTTATGATTTGTTGAGTGTAAAACTGATGATCTGCTCTGTAAACTTTCACTCAATTCACAATAAAACCTTTAAAAAAAAAGAAAAAGAAATTTATACTTACAAGAAAGGGACTCTTCTGTAGCTTTCTTTTCTGTGGGATGAGGGAAAGCAGGTGTGGATAAGTATCTTGTTTTAGTGCAAAAGTAGTTTAATTTGTATGATTTTCTTGACTGAAACTCTGGGATGTTGGGATTTTGTAGAGTATCCTGTTAAAATTTATTTTTATTACTTTATAATTTAGATATCTTAATCTTTCTATGAAAAATAACTACTTTTTTTAAATCCTAAAATACAGTGTGTAGTTGAGCCTCAGGCAAAGATAACTCACTCTTTGTTAGATTGTTGTTTGTTAAGTGCCGTTCAGTGGGTTCCAACTCATAGTGACCCTGTATAGATTGTTAGATTAGAAATCATGAAATACCGACATTTAAACAGAATATGTAGTCCTGGTATGGTGCTGTGGGCTAAAGCACTGGACTGCAAAGTTGGTTTGAACCACGAGGTCGGCTTTGAACTCCCCAGCTGCTCTTTGGAAACCCTATATGGGGTTGCTAAGAGTCTGATCCCACTTGATGGTACTTAACAACACTAACTATAACAGAATATAGGAACCCTGGTTTGGTGCTGTGGGATAATACTCTGGATCACAAGGTCGACTTGAACCTCAAAGTCAGCAGTTCAGATTCACTAGCCGCTCCTTGGAAACTCTATACAAGGTCACTATGAGTTGGAATTGAGTAACATTTAAGAACAACAGCAAACTGAACATAAGGAGTAGGTTAAGCACTGAGTTACTAACTGCAAGGTCAGCTGTTCAAACACCAGCTGCTCCTCATAAACCCTATGAATTGGAATGAGTAGGAACTAACCCAGTGGCACTTGAAAACACCAGACAGCAGACAGAACATAGGCTTAAAGGTTTACAATTAAGGCGTAGGTATTTTTTTCCCTTTTTCTGTTAATGTTTTTATCCTCTTCCTGTCATATAATAGTAACTTTGATTTTGGGAAAGTGTCTGAGCCCCCAGCTCTCTAAAGTTGGAATTAATGCTGCTAGTCATAGGTCTTTATAAGGATAAAATAAGTCTATATATACGTTTAATTTTTTAGTTTAGGAGGTTTGGGGGTTTTTTGTAAAAGCTGGTCAGTCTGAAGCTTGAAAGATTATATAAAAATTTATAAAACTTATATGTGAAGCAGGAAGGGAAAGATACAATTTAACTGAATTACTCAATCTATTTCAAGTAACATCTATTGCTGTTAATAGTGAACTGAGGAGTTAGAAAGAAAGATGCATATTTTAACTTGGTTATTTTGACAGTCTATTTGTATAAATTCCAAGTATTTCCCAGAAACCAGAAATGTTGAGTAATTAACTGCTTCATTTGTAAGTGTGATTACACTTTCTAAGGGTTAATACCTTGCTGTAGGCGAATCAAAGTGGAAAGTAAACACTGCCCTAATTTTATAATCTCCCTGTGTAATTCTCAGTTGTTATGTATATAAAGTTTCCAACTATGCAAATATTTCAAATATGTTAATGTTGCCTAACTGATACATCTCTTTCTTTATCTGTATGCATGTGATTAATATAACCTGATCACCATTACGCAAGGGGCTGAAACTGTTGCAACAATGATTAATCATTTCTGAACAATATATGCCTCACTAGAAATCTTGTCCTCCCATGATTAATCATCTCAGATAAAGTTTTCAGATGGGGCAATACATTTTGCCCCAGTTTCCATGCACATTCTGTTTTTAGCTCAAGCAAAAAAAAAAAAAAATCAACATTAAGTTTATCTGTAAACAGCAACCTTATAAAGTACTTTAAATTGCTTAACATATAGGACTAATCAGAACATTGTTAATGCAGTCTCTTTTGTAAAAAAGATTAGACATGTTTTAAAGTAAAATCATGAGGGGATGAATGTTAACCCGGTTCTTGTATTAAATTGTTTGTAGAGCTTGAGGTTTTTAAATGCGTTATTGTATTTTTGATGGTGCTTGTATTTTAATATGGTCACAGAATATCATTTTAAAGGTTTGTATTTTTGTGTTCTTTTGATATTTAGCATGAGATACAGTACTGCAGTGCTTGGTTGCCTTTTACATTAGACAGAATGTATCTCCAAGTTTTTATCTGAACATGCAGTACAAAAAAATGGTGTTGATTAACTTGGAAATGCATAGTATTTGCTTTCAAATGACAGCTTAAAATGTAGTTCTTTCAACTTTGCTTTTTACTCCCATTCGTTCATAGGCATCTATATGTACCTTTTTTTTTTTTTAATGTTTTATTGTGAATTATGTGATAGTTTACATGGGAGAACATTAGTGGCTTTACATTCATCTTATTGTATATCCTTTCATTGTCACGGTTACAATCCCCTCCATACATCGTCAACCAACCAAAGGGTATACCCTGCAAGCCTGTCCCCGGTCGTCAGCACACAGCCCCTCTCCCTCTCTCGGTCTACAGTACCCAGCCATTGCATCGCTCCACATCATCGTCTCTCTCCATCTCTGGCATCACTGTTTCTCTGGGTAGGGTCCCGCACTTCGCTCTTCTCCCTTGATGGTCCCAGGGACCTCCGCTCCTAGGCTGCAAAGTCAATCACTCCCCTCCTTTTGCTACAAAACATCTACCTTTGTGTTTCCAACCCTCACAGTCAATCCTGATAACAATTATTCACCATTGTACCTCAAGAGATCTATCCCCATCTCCTTTCATCAGCCCCACCCAGACAGATTAGATACTACTCAGTAGAGATTCTACCTTCCTCCATGCCCTCTGGATCTAGGCTCCTTCTTGAAAGCTTGTAAGCCAGTCTTCTTTTACATTGAATTTGTTTTGATCATAGACTGACCTCCCAGATTCTGAGTTTGTTCTTATAGTTCTGTTCTCTGACTGTTCCTTCTGTCGATTTAATTCTGGGAGGTGCTGCCACCTATGTCAATCTCTGGTTATTGTCTGTTCTTGTTGATTCTCAGTCCACAGAACT